GCTTGTCATAAATGTTGACTTACCATTCAGCAATTAATTTGGTGGGTCAACTCTAGTTTGGACTAGCAGTTAGATATAGGCCAAAACAGTACACTGATACTGTATTATGCATGTATTTTGTAGGGTAAAGGTGCTTTACCTTACCTTTAAGTCCTACGATACTCTGCTGGGTGGTGGGGAGGTTGCCACAACTGTCTTAGTTAAGGCATAATCCATAACAGACTTCATCATACCAAACAAGATCCACTGGTAAATGTCAGTTGGACCACACTGCTTCCTCCAGAAATAGTGATCCCTCTTTCTTCCTTTCCCTATATACGGTACTCTAAACCTATTCTGAAAAGCTGGAAACTCTCATCAGTACATTTCTGACACCACACAAGACTTCAGCAGTAGAGGCAATGCAAAGAAAATCCCAATTCTGCTAGGCTGCATACTAAAGTACATTCTGGCCTCCTTAGCCACAGATTTTTTTATCCACAGATTCAACCATCCACAGCTTGAAAATATTTATATATATATATAAATGCCAATAAGCAAACCTTGACTTTGCCATTTTATATAAGTGACACCATTTTACTGTGCCATTGTATTTAATGGGACTTGAGCATCTACAGATTTTGATATCCATAGGGGATCCTGGAATCAAACCCAAGCAGATACCAAGGGCCCACTGGATGCTGTTGGATCTTGGCCACCCAGGGTAGATCCATGGAAATTACTGAGTTGTGATTCCTTGTAAGCCTGGATAAAATTGGACCCAACCTTATGCTTAACACTTGCTTGAACTTTTTAACCTACAGTGCAAATGTAGTACCCCATCATCGTGTCTTGGGTTTGCTCTCATCTTTTTTCCATGTACATGTCAAAGTTATATTTACATTTCAGGCTGAACATGATTAACAGCCTGACAGGAGTGGGGTAGCACTGCTGGTAAAAGTAAAGCTGGTGGATTACAGCAACTCTTCCTCCCTTGACTACCAATAATAGCACCTTGTATTTGCTCGGTTCCATCATATGAGGTACTATCTGAAACAGAGAACAATAAATTACCATTCTGTTGGCATTTATTGTGCTAATAACCCAGCACATTCTCACTCATTTCTCCCCACCGCTCCCTACTTATTATCGTCAGTAAATTTAGTGTCAGCACACTTCAAACTGTTTCCTATGTTTTGTGTCAGCTAGATAGGGTTTGTCTTCCCACTTCTGCAAGCTGTCATTGTCACACACGCTCATTTTGCATTTCTGAGGGTTACTTCCCAGAATCTAAGTTTTGATGAACAAATATATATTTTATGGCGAGATAGCTGAGCAAACGAGGGAGGAGGGGAAAGAGTGGATTAACAAGTAAATTATGTCATTCAATTTGCAACACTAATCTTTGGAGCCAGAACAAGTAAAATAAAATAGGGTGTGTGTTAATTAGCTTATTTAAATTCATACACACATCATCATAAAGCAACTTTTGAATTTTGAGTATGTCACTGTCGAGCTTTGGAAAACTCATATTTTTATATACCATGAGTGCAGGGAGAGATCTCCTTTCTTCTCCAAAACCCATCAATCCTCAAGAAACACCGACTCTGACCCTGTGGCATTTAACCAGCCATTACATAGAAGTGTATTTCATAAGTATATAGGAAAGCTTTTTTCTTTAACTAATGATTGTTGGGAAGGGAAATCATTTCCTGTCAGGTTGCGGAAAAGTAAAATTAAATTAAAGAGGTCTCTTGATGGTTGAGGAGCTTTCTCACCCCTCAAGGTACACATATGAGTACATTCAGAGTTATGATGGCTAGTTTTATAGAGTCTGGTCCCAGAAGAATGGCAAGGCGTTAAAGGTGTGCTAACACTGTGTCCTATAGCATATAGAAAAGCCATATGTTGTTGTTATTGTTGTTGTTGTTGTTGTTGTTGTTATTTCCCACCCTTCTCCCAATATAGGGACTCAATATATGTAGCCATCTATATGCACTCTTTAGTTGGGTCTCTAAAATAGGCTTGTTGGTGCCAGGCAGAGCAACTTTCAATATGATCATTCTGCACATATAACTTTTAGACACACATACACACAGCCCAGTGCTGTCTCCTGCATATGTTATTCCTTATTTCTTGATTATACTCTATCTATCCCAGGGGCAGGCAACCTTTCCCCTTTAAGGGCTGAGGGACTTCAGCTCCCAGAATCCCAGGAGCTATTGGCCAACATGGCTGAGGCTTCTGGGAGCTGAAGTCCCTTTGCCCTTAAAGGGGAAAGGTTGCCTACCCCTGATCTATCCCACAGGAAGTACGGTGGGCCCTCCCCATTCACTGGGATTAAGGACAAAGGCCCCCCATAAAAGTGGGAAAGCTACTTTTTAAAAAATTGTGGGTTTTTTCAACCTGAGAGAACATCTCTCTAGGAATCTCTAGGTCCTTCAGGCAAGTCCATGGTGAACATCTGCCATAAGCTGAACTATGAATTGCAATGCAGGACCTACAAATGCCTAGAAAAGTGCTCTCTAGGAATCTCTAGGTCATCCAGCATGACATTGACCACAGAGTCATGGTGGAGGACATAGAGATTCCTTCCTAGAAAGAGCATATTAATCAAAGCCGTGAATAATCAAAGCCACAAACGTCAAAGCCGCAATGTGGAGGGTCGACTATATGCTCTTCCTTATCTTCATTACAGAGAAAGAAGCCCTTTTCTTCTGAAAAGCATTTTTTTTCTCAGCTTGTATTTCTCATGGCAGTTCTGAGCATGTCAGGGTGACCGGACGTCATAACCGTAAAGGAGGACAAGGCATTGTAAATGTAGGACAATCAAGAAAAATGTGGGACATGACAAAATAAAAGCTAAAAACACTCAAATAAATATAAATCCATGCTTTGGGGGTGGAGTTGGGGCAAGGCAGCCGCATGCCAGCCGCCCCGACCCCATCCTGACGCCGCACACCCGTTCGCACGGCATCAGGACACCCTCTTGGCACAATGTGTGCACACGCTGTGCCAAAAGGGAGCAAAAAAGCCTCTTTTGGGGGCAGCAAAAAGGAGGATCGGGGCCGTGGCGTGCAGTTGACGTGGCCCTGATCCACCACTCCCAGGGGCAGCTCTGTGCCACCCCTTTTGGGCCATCTGTATCGGCCCTTAGTCATGCTCAAAATGGAGGACATTTTGGAATTCTTCCTGCACAGAAGGTTGGAATGCAGGTAGGACATGTCTGGGAAAAGGAGGGCGTCTGATCACCCTGGAACACACCTCTTCACACGCTCTCTGGACGGCCGAAAGGGCACTGCACACCCACTGTTGTAAACCTGCTGGCCTCTGAAGCAACATAATAATAGTACTTGGGTCCACATTAAGTCCCATGGCAATGTTCTGTGTTTTTCTGGGTCTTGTAGCTTGGTCTGTGACACTAGTGATTTCTAGCTGAGTATACTAGTTGCTTTGTCTTAAACTGCCAATCCCAATACTAGCTGCAAAGAAATTTGGCTTCCATCAGCTAAGGGACATAGGCATAATATGCCTTCTTAACACTCATGTTCTGCATCTATATAAGCATGGACCAGTTGAGTCTCCCTTATCCAAAATGCTTGGAACCAGAAGTCATTTGGATTTCACAGTTTGGAATAGTTGCGTATTTGCTGTTGTTGTGTGCCTTCAGGTTGTTTCTGAGTTATGGCAACCCAAAGGCAAACCTATCATATGGTTTTCTAGGGCTGAGAGTGTGTCAAGAGCACCCAATGGGTTTCCATAGCTGAGCAAGCAATCAAACTCTAGTCCTCAGAGTTGTAGTCCAACACTCAAACCACTTCAACTGTTGGCTCTCATATTTGCATATATAAAATGAGATATCTTGGCAATGAGACCCAAGTCTAAACAAAAAAATTATTTATGTTTTGTATAAATCTTATACATATAGCCTGAAGGTAATTTTATACATAATATCTTTAATAATTTGTGCATAAAACAAAGTTTGTGTACACTGAACCATCAGAAAGCAAAGATGTCATTATCTCAGCCACCCATGTGGACGATTTCAGATTTTTGAGTATTTTGGATTTTGACATTCCGGATAAGGGAACCTCAACTTGTATCCAAATCTGTTCTATTTGAGTTTGTTTTTTAAAATGAGGCTGAGCTACTTTGTTTGTACTCTGTTGGATTAGGATTAAAAGCTATAAATCCTTAATGCAGACAAACAAAACTAATTTGGTGCCTAAATATATCAGCATCAGAGGTCAAGCATACTTTGCTGATTAATAACAGTCAAGAAGTATGTGTTCTAAGGTACTTAATCATCTTTTCCAGGAGATGAACACAAGAAAACATCTCTCTCCTTGTAAATGGGCCACAGAGACAACTTCTTTGACAAATCCAAGGAATATATTTTAACCGTCTGATTGATCAGGCACCTGGGATTTTTCCAGTTCTAAGCATGTGTGAAAGCTGTGTCAAATAAACTGTTTTTTTCACAAGAGTATTCATTTTCCCCTTGCTCTTCCCTGCCAAAACCTTCTCCAGAGTATTCCTCCATACCACTGGTGCAGATTTTGTAAGGGAACTGACATTGCATAAAAAAGGATTAAATTATCCATCTGATGGATTCTGCTCTGTTGGCCCCAAAATATATAACCATAATATTTTAAAGAGAGAGCCAGTGTGATGTAGTGGTTTGAATGTATGACCTGAACTCTGGAGATCGGGATTCGATCCCTTGCTTGGCCATGAAAACCCACTTGGTGACGAGTCATGCATTCTCAACCCCAGAAAATCCCCTTATCTTAGGGTTGCCATAAGTTGGAAACAACTTGAAGGACACAAAAATCATTTAAACTTTGTTTGAACATTCCTTTTGTAACATAGATACAGTATTTAAGATTTTGACATTATGACCAGATCTGAAATAAGACTGTAATCGAATTAACAAATCTTTGTTGAACAAATCAGTTTTAATTGATTAACAGATGAATCAAATTTGCCTATATTTGTATCTATGAATAGTTTTGAAAAGAGCCGGTGTGGCAAAGTGATGGTTTGAGTGCTGGACTACAACTCTGGAGACCAGGGTTCGATTCCCTGCTCAACCATGAAATTCATTGGGTGACCTTGGGCAAGTCACATGTTCTCAGCCTCAGGGGAAGGTAATGGCAAACCTCCTCTGAACAAATCTTGCCAAGAAAACCCCATGATAGGTTCATCTTAGGGTCGCCATAAATCAGAAATGTAACTTCAAGGCACACAACAACATAGTTTTCAATAGGAACCAACAAAAAGATGCCCTTGTTTTTAAATGCTGAATATAAATGTTACAGTGGACAGCACCTTAAAACAGACATATGTTCCTATTGGAACAGATTATCTTTCCTAAAATGGTGACCACCCTCTGAAGTCTTAAGTTAAGTAAAAATGTATTAAAACAACATTAGATTCTCGCCTGACCCTCTGAGATGTACGTTGACAAATCCCAGCATCTGATTCAGTGGCATCCCAAAGTTTTTAGTTTGTTGTTTTCTGCAGTGGAAAAGAAGCACACAGGCCTTAACCTTCCTTGCTTTGCTTTCTGTTCCACTGCGAACATGACAGGAACATAATTAGCAATCCCAATATTGATTTTTCTAAAAATCAAATACCAGGAGGCTTGGCCACAGGAACAACAGCATTCAAAGAAGTCGAAGGGGAAGCCATACTCCTGAGCCACCATACCAATAAATAAAATTCTCCTATACGGCAACTGCAAATTGAGAAGGGAAATGATTACTGATGCTAACTGGATTTTTTTTTTTACAAGTGCAATTTTTACTTAAAAACTGGCTGAGAAGGGAAGCTTTAAACCTCTCCTCTTACTTGCCTACTCAGAAGCGAACCCTTCTGGGTTCAATGGGACTTAGGGTGCCTCTACTACACTGTAGAAATAATGCAGTTTGACCCCACTTTAAGTCATGTAGCTCCATCCTATGGAATTCAGGGATTTGTTGTTTTTACAAGGTCTTTCTCTGCCAAAGAGTGCTGCCGGTGTCTCACAAAACTACAAATCCCAGGATTCTGTAGGATGGAACCATGGCAGTTAAAGTGGTGTCAAACTGCATTATTTCTACAGTGTAGGCACACCTTTACTCTCAAGTGAATATGTCTGGGATTGCGTATGTGCTGAACCGAGGTACTGTTTGCGTGAACACAGCCAAACACAACATGGGCAAAGTTAAGAATTATAGCAACATAACAAGCATGCGGAAACAGACCAAAGAGCAAGGCTGTTCTTTCCTCCTTTGAACCTCAAGAACACCTCCTTGAAAAACAGAATGCACATCTCAGATTTCCAGAGATTCCTTTTAACGTGTCGAGCAAATTCTGACTAATGTCATTCATCCACCTGTCACAATTTGCTGCCTGCCATCAGAAAAAGGGGAAAAGGGGAAATGGGAGGGAATGGTGACAGGAAAGTGACACCCATTAAAATCCTCTCCGTGTCAAAAACTGCCAAGAGTAAAGATGCTGGACTTGAAAAATGACAGGGGAAAAGGAACCCATCTGAATTTGCCACTGCTGATATAAATGCAAAGAGAATTAAATTAGTTTGGTGGGGGTAACTGTTGTGCCTATGTGCATAATGCAGATGCAGAGCTAGAGAAATTGTCACAATATGTTCCCAACCAATGTTTTTCAAGTTGGCTGCCTTGTAGGGTTGCCAGAGTGAAAACTGGAGAGGACTCCTGTATCGATAACACCCGCGGAGAAGAGGGATTTCAGCAGGTGTTGTTTTTCAAGCAACCAGGTAACAAGCGACACCTACTGAAATCCCTGCCTTTGCCCAACCATTAAAAGTAAAGGAGTTGTCTCCAGTTTTTACTCTGGCAACCCAGTTTTCACTCTTCCAATATGGTTACATCCAGGATGAGCAGGTGTCTCCTAACCACAAAGGAGGACAAGGCACTGCAAAATGTAGGATAGGCAAGAAACGTGAAAGACACTACCAAATAAATGCTCAAAACATTCATACAAATGGAGGATATTCTGTTGGAAATTCCTCCTGGATAGAAAGTTGAAATGGAGGGTCACCCTGGTTATATCTTCAAGTGAGCTATTCAGACTTTTCTCCAGATGGTAAAAGGTTTAATACAGCTAAAACCCAGGAGGGGTTTATAACTGTGGAGGCCTCCTGTCCAAATTTTTCTAGGCACTTTCAGGATGTAAAAACATGTTTCGGCACGGATTTCACTGTTCCCGCAAAGAAATCCAGAGCCCCACCTCACTGATCCATTTGGTCTCAGTGGAAACCATCCAGTTTCAGTGGATGCCATTGATGTAAAATTTCTGGAAGTTTTGAAGCCACGGGGTAAAACGTTTTCATACCCAGGTTGTGGAGGGCAAGTAAATTTTCAGAAAAACTGGGGAAAATGTGAAATTAGAATCTCTTCCAGATTGAAAATCACTTTGATATTTTAGAAATATAATATGTTGCCTTCCTCTTAGGCTGAGAGAATATAACATGTCCAAGGCCACTTTAAAGTTAAGGCTACCTCTCTTGCACTAGGCTCCAGTCAGTGGTTCTTAAGAGTTCAGCCGAAAGAAAGGACATCCCAAATTCTCCTGCAGCTGCACGACAGAAACAAAGATCACAGTGACAACAAGCAAGCTGTTTTCCAGAGAAGCTTGCTGGCCATTATCGACCTTCTGACTAAGAAATTGCTGACATGGTTTCCTGGAACACAGTGTGAAAACAACAGTGCTACACATAGTCCATGTTATTACGGGGGAACATGCTTATAAAACATTGCCATCTGCAGAAGCAAAACATTAGCTTCTGCGACATAACCAGGTACATATATTAATGGGCACTAGTGATGTTTAGCAGTCCAGCCATAAACTCTTGCCAAGCAGCCTTAAGGTCTTCAGAGGCTGCTGGCAGCAAAGAATGCTTGCCAGCAGATATTGACAGAGAAGCAAAGTACAAGGGCACTGCTGACAAGAGGAGAGAGACCGAAGTGGGACCGTTTTGCATGTTTACACGCATCTGAGCTGAGAGGAAGCACAATAAATAAGTAAAACTGAACACTGTTTAATTCATCCCTAGGCTAAGAGACATTTAAAAAAGCATCTGAGAAAACACATCTAATAGAAAACCGATAAGTTTAAAAATATATTGGAAAATGGATGAAAGTTAAAGATACTACGATGCTCTTGTTATTATAGTATAAATATAATGAAGGAACTGTGACTCGCCTGTTATTATAGTAAAATGCAATTAACAGAAGTAGAAGAAAATAAAGAAAGTATAGGGATTAACGGGTAAAAATATATCAGAGTATATGGCGTCAATATGAGGGGTTCGATAAATTCTAGTCAAATCAGGTAAATATTTAGGAAGTCTAATTTAGAGTTCTTGTAAATAATACAATATTAAAATAACCAGATCTGTGTCTGTTTGTAAGTATATTTGACGGACACGGTTTTTGATTGGGTCGATAGGAGTGTATGAGGGGTTTTTTGTGTGTGTGTGTTTGAAACTATGATTTTTTGATTGAAAATATGTTTTTTAAATTATAATAAAAAAAAGATTAAAAAAAATAGAAAACCAATATTTTCCCCTTGCTTGACATAAAAGAAACAAGCTAAAACAAGCAGCAGGAGAGAAGAGACAAAACCCCTGAGTTGGAAGAGACCTCAAAGGTCATCCAGTCCAACCCACTGCCATGTAGAAATACGCCATCAAAAGGCTCCCAAGAGATGGCCATCAACCTCTGTTTCAAAACCTCCGAAAAAGGAGACTGCACCACTCTTCAGGGGAGTTTTCCACTGTTGGGAAGGGAGAAAAGGTGGTACTTCCAAAACATTACAAAAAGGCTAGCTACATTTTTTATTTATTTATTTTTATTTTTTTAAGCAGAACTGCTCTGGAGATTCAGCAAAGAATAAGATGCTGCTGCATCTCTTTCCACCTACAAAAGCCAACAGGACTGGAAGCTGAAACTTTCCTCCAGCGTGGCAAGGAAAGCATATCTTCTAACCCACCTGGAGGGAGAAGATCAATGTTTTAGTTCTGTCTTTTTAAATTGTTGTAACCCGCCTTGAATCCCATTGTGGGAGAAAGGCAGGATACAAATCCTTGAAATAAACAAACAAATAAATAATCTATAAATAAAATAAATAAATAATACAAATAAATAATACAGGCACAGAGCAAGCTCCATGAAATATTGCTCTCTCCACCTCAAATCCTAATGGCAGAGCCAACTTTGCTAATCTGGACCTGTTTAAACTCTTTCCTTCTCAATGAATGCATTGAAACAAGCTAGTGGGTACTGGACAAGCATTACACTTGTGTGCATGATGTAGTGGTTTGAGTGTTGGACTACGACTCTGGAGACCAGGGTTCAATTCCCCGCCTGGCCATGAAACCCACTGGGTGACCTTGGGCAAGTCACACTCTCTCAGCCTCAGGAGAAGAGAACAGCAAACCTCCTCTGAACCAATCCTGTAAATAAAAGACAGGGTCACGTATGTTGGAAACAACATGAAGGCACACAACAACAACATGAACACTCACTCCCATAAAGGAACGTGAAACCAGTCAGATATATTTTCTTTATATGTGATCAGCTGCTAATGCCTCACTGCAGGCAAGACTTTCATTGTTGAGAATTGAAGGTCGTGGAAGGGAGGGGAGGATCCATACTTTGTCATCCCCCATTTCTAACTCTTCTGTTCTTTTTCTTACCGCTTCTTTCATCTTTTTCCCCCACAGAAAATCCATTAAGGAGGGAAAGATGAAATAGCCCTCCAATGTCTTTTGATTGCTAGCACCAGAAGCCTTCTCTATGAAGGCCAAATTATATCACCACACAACCATTTTTGCATAACCTTCAGATAGTATATATCCATGCAAAGAATTTGCACAATTCTGCTCAGGGTTGGTTTAAATCAACCTGACTGAAAACATGATTTAAATCATTTCACTGAAGGACTCACGTGTAACAATTGAAGTCACAGCTTAATTCACCAGTCGGAGGATTTTAAAGTATTATTTTAGCATTTTTATTATGTTTAGTGGTCGTGCGTGGCTGTTTAATTCAATCTTAATTAATATTAA